CTCTTCAACAGCAGTTAAAATTAACTGTTCTCCAATGGTGTACGGTTTTCCAGATTTTGCGATAAGTAATGAGATATTGTAAAAAGCCCGCAAGCCATCATCGTTGCTTTCAGACGTTGAAGAGAACATACTGTGCACGGTGGGTCTCTTTTCATATTTTTCCTTTAATGTTTGGAAATATTTCAAATCTTTACCTATTTTATTAGGATGACACCTTCTTAGATTATCTTCCAGCTTTGATGGTCTCTAGAGTTATTGCTCATAACTTTGTTGCATAAAAGGCATGTGGGCATTCGTTTGTCTGCCTTTGATGGAAGAAAACCAAATTTTAAATATTCAACACTGTACTGACGACACTTCTTCTTAGATTCAGCCATGTTTTGTATCATTTACCTACCTGTAAATGTGTAAGTAAATAAATAAAAAAAACTTTGTTTTAGTAATTTTAAGGCGATTCAAACTTAACAATATATGGGTATTTTAACATTATTATAAATATTATGAAATAAACAAAGTTCCGGCTGTAAACTGTTTCTAATTATTAAAAGCAATAAATCACTAAGATCCATAATAGAGTTTTATGAAAACGGCTGAATTTATTTTAATGTGATATAAAATTATTATTTCATTTATTATATTTTAATATATTTCTGTAAATTCTATAGAAACTTTTAAACAATATTTTGATATTAAAACTCCGCAATAATTAAATGAATTAGAAACAAATTCAGTCACTGGCCAACACTAATATCGATTCACTTTACTTTTCTTTTCGAAAGTCTGGAAACAAATTTAGTCACTGGCCAACAGTAATATCGATTCACTTTTCTTTATGAAATTCCAGAAACAAATGAGTAACGATTATCCTTGACATTCTTATTTATATTGGTAAAGAATCAAACATGTTCATGCAAGATTGCAAGCACATACACCACAAGTCGTATTAATTTGCAAGTCTGAACGAGCGTTGCGGACGAGACGGCGGCCGGCGCGGCAACGACAAGTCTCGACGCGTTGTACTGAATATGGAATATGCAAGTTTTTACAAGTAACGGTCGCTGAGCTTCTTATAATATTATCTGAGAAGTCAAGTCAACATTTTGGTAACTAAAATGTTGACTGTTTATATTATAAACAGTTGAAGTTTTTTATAAGAATATCTTTATCACATGGAAAAATGAGTAATCAATTGTTAATTAGTATATTGCTAAACTATCGAAACCAAATTAATTTTTATGCACCCCCGCTTACGATTGTGGACCCTCATTTTTTATTACTCCCAACGTAGACGCCCGTAGTCTCCCGTGGACCCCTGGAGGTCCACCTGGACCACTTTGGGAAATACTGAGCTAGAGAATTGAGACTTTAAACATAACTTAGAACTAGACGATAATGCGTTATTAGCTTAGATACCAGAATACTATATCGTATTTTACATAGAACTTTCCTTAAGAACTAAAGTTGTTAAATGCTAAACCAGTTCCAGTTATCGGAATTGGCTGAATTTTATTTTATTAGATGCAAAGCCAAAGCAAACTCAAACTAGTAGCATTTTCTTGGCTGTAACAAATGGTTAATAGAGGAAAACCCATAAACATCGATTTTTTGGATTAATTTAATCACTGTAGTTTATTTTTTTAGGACGTCCAGTATATTATATTTTTGGATTTAGATTAAAAGTAAAGACATTCTTGTCGTAACCGTTTAAATTGAATTGTTTATTTAAAATTGTAAAAGTAATACTTGAAATGTATTTAAATACCAGAAAAGTATTTAAATACCAGAAATATATTTAAATACCAGAAAAGTATTTAAATGCCAGAAAAATATTTAAATGAAGTATTTAGAATATTTTAAAAAGTATTTAAAAACTAAATATTTACGAGAGTATTTGTAGCTGCAAGTACAAATACCGCTCATCTAAAATTATTTAAATACCTAGTATTTAAATACTAAAAAGTATTTACAAATATAAATACTACCCAGCTCTGCTACAATACTAACTTCACCTGAACGATTGACTAAACCCATTCCAAGATGTTCCAAAAATGTATTAAAAGAAGTTAGATATGATCAATTGATCTACAAAATCGGTACTCAAAGACGTTGTGGCAAATGTAATATATTTATTTGCAGAAAATATTATGTTGGTGTACATCCAGATACTCCTATATAATAAAAATAATGTTTAAAAGTTTTTATTATTTCATTCTGTTCAAATAAAGTTGTTAGATATTTGAATTATAAATACTTAAAATTTAAAAATATCATGTATTAAAAAAAACTGCAAAAACAATTTTGGAAAATAGTAATTCGGATAAACATTTATTCATCAGATCTAATTTAATTACTATTAGTATTTTTTTTTTACAAAATCGACTTCAAAAAGGGCGAAGGTTATCAATTCCTCGAAATATTTTTTTGGACGTTCAGCCATAATTCTTTACCACGATGTCCGATTTCAACGATTCTTTTTTGTTAGAAAGTGGGTACCTTAAGGGTAGTTCCATATAAATTTCGTCAAGATCTATTAATGACGTCCATGAGAAAATCATCAAACTATTCATTTTTTATGTATGTTCAGCGATAATTCTTTAGCACGATGTCCGATTTTTATGTTTCTTTTTTTTTTGTTAGAAAACTCAGGGGTGGGGTGAATTAATATACAGTTGGTCAATATCTAATGATGAGATTTATGATAAAATCAGCAAACCCAATTTATAATAGCACTTGCATGATTTTGGGTCGGTTTTCAAAATTAGAATTATTTAATTAAAAAACAAACGATCCTCAGGTCCTAATTTTAATTAAAACAATAATTAAATATAACCGAACCTTTAACATATTTAGTTAAACTATCTTTCAGAATAGACACTTTTTCTAAATGCCTTAAAACTGGGAAAGTGATAAGTCATACCTTATAGTCAAACGGGGTTAAGTGAATCAAAATGGGCAAAGTGAACCATTCGGTCATTTCCGTTAAAAGTGACGAATATTATATTTTTAGTTCGTAAATTTCCTCTTTGCTTTATGATTAGAAGCTGTTTTTTTTTACTATTTTTAAATAAACGTTTTTGTTTTTTGTATTACTTTTATTTATTTATTTTTTCCAACCAAGTGTTTAAAATATTTTCGGTGGTTCACTTTACCCCGATATTTGCCAAAGTGATTTTCTTTGCGATTTAAACCATAATTCACTTTACCCCAAAATAAGGGGAAAAGTGAATCACATTTTAACAAAGAAAGTTAGGCACTTCTAAGTAAAATAAAAATATTAAAATTAGTTAATAGTGAAAGGTAAGCCCCAAATAATATATGTTATTTTTTACAGATTTTTAATATTTGTAGTTTTGGAATATTCTGAGAAAAACAGCCTTTTGTGATTCACTTAACGGTATATAAAAAAGGGGAACATCACTTTCTCTCAAATTATAGACCAATAACTGTTCCCAATAATTTACAGAATATCTTTGGCTACCATTTTTTAGATCAATTCTTAATCAACTTTTTAGAAAACATGTTATATCTCATAAATAATAATGTTTTAGATATAAAAAATCAACATCAACTACGTTACTTTCTGTTTACAAAGATATAATTAAATGTGTAGAAATAAGAGACTCGGCTACGATTTTTTGTAACCTCAGCAAGGCATTTGACTGTGTTAATCATATCAATTTATTATCAAAATTAAACGCTTATGAAATTAGGGGTCTTGCAGAAGATTAACACATATAATGGTGGGTGAGGTTATCCAAGTGTTCCTCACCTGTAAGTCAAATGGCACCATCAATCATTTTTAAGTTGCCCCGGAGCGCCACAGCAAATAATAATAATAACCGGACATTAGGGTGAATTATAGGGATAATATTACTATTATCTATATCTAATTAATAGAAATATAACTAAAATTATAAAGCTGAATGTTGTATCAGGAATATAAATTTTAAATTGTTAAACGTATCAATAAGTGTCCCACAGGGAACTATTTTGGGTCCAATATTTTTTATTTTATATGTTAACAACATGCTTATTTTGTTACTTTTTTAGAAACTTAAGAGAAGTTTTAGATCATGAAACTTTAATGTGTATTTTTTATTATTACGCTCAAATAGAGTCTCGATTAAGGTACGAGCAGTGATGGCTTATTACCAAATTATTGGGGGTTTACAATGACAGAAAATAAATCTGAGTACAGATTTATTTAACACACTTTCAATCTTTATAATATACCATTTTAAAACACTGAAATTTTTTTACCTAAATCTGTATCGAGATCTATAGTCTGTCATTGTGAACTCCCAAAATTTTGGTCACGAACTGTCAATGGGTACGAGATTGGTTTGTAGGGAAACTTAAGTGACGCTTTTCAAAAGAAGATCCTTAGATTAATAATAGTTAAGTTTTTAAATATGATTTAGGTGGACCACTATTTCTGAAATATGGCATTCTGCCTATAGCTTGGTTACATGTTCTAGAAATGTATTTATATGTTTTTAAGAATTTAAAGAAAATAAAGATTTTCTTAATTTTTGAACTAGGATTTCAAATAATCTTCATACGCCAGTTACCATTTGTTTGAGACGCATTTTATACGATAACCTTGCGGACTTTATAAAAAACTGTAAAACAGAGATTTTATTAAAGTATAAACCCAGAAAATTTTTTAAAGTATATTATTATTTCTATTCTGTAAAGGATTGTGTGAATCTTGAATTAAATATTGTTTGTGATAACTACTAGTATTAGTATGTATTAGAATTGTATGACAAATTTTATTATTTTATAAATAACGAATTATATATAACATTACAAATTGTCTACCTACACCTATCTATCAATCTATGATCTTTTGTGACCCAAGCTTTCCTTACCGGTTACAGGAAAATAAAAATGGATAACTTAATTGAATTTTTTGGGAAATTCAAATTTAATCGAGACTCAACTTTTGCGATATTACTTGCGAATCAATTTTCTATGCTAAGAAAAGCAACACCTACCAAAAACGTTCCTAGTAAAAGACAGCTAACTCCAACAAGTCACTACCACATTTTCCTCGGAAACTTCACCTTTCGAGCGTTACTAGAAAATTCAAAATTTAAAAAACCGCGGCACTCGCGTTTTACGCAAAACTGTTTGTTCTTCTTCTTTCCCGGTGCCCAGCCAAGAGATGTGAGAGTGTGCTAGCGATGGCTGTGAATGTCGGGAAGCGACTGTGATGAGGAGCTTGCGAGAGCTGCTAATGGACCACGGACTAACTTAAATGGTAATCTCTTCATTGATTTCATTCTTCTTTTCTATATACGCTCGCACATAAATAACATGCGCGGCTTAGAAGTTTAATTTTTTAATTTTTACTAATTATTAGGGAACACTTTTTATTTCATAGTCGTGCGCTAGAGATTAAAGTTAAATTGATTTAATCCGAACTATAATGGCAATGTTTTTAATAATTTAGGTTCATGTTTCATTTAATTAAAAATTGTTTAATCGCGCATTATTGCAATAAAAAAATTGGCTTTTAAATGTACTGTACCACTTTTGAACACGTAACAATTTTTTATCCCGCTAGAGGACGCTTAATTCAAATGTAACGCATAAAATTATAAGATTGATTGCCTTACCTATCAGAAAGATTAATTAATCGATTTGTCGAGCTCAGCTTACTGTATAATTGATCACCATGTAGTGTAGCGTTAGTCATTCATTCCTCTCAGTATTTGTTAAAAAATCCTAACCTAAGCAGCAAGGCGCCGTCATTATGACGTTGGGTTTACTTGTCAGAAACGTTACTATACCAATTAATGACATTACTTTAACGTCGTTTTTGCAATGTTAATTAGACGTCAATACAGACTCGTCATTATGACGTTATTTTTTAGTATTAGTTTATCTGAAATACAATATCCTAATCAGTAACGTGTATTTGACGTCGTATTGATGACATAGAATAGACGTCACTTAGAATTCGTCATAATTACGTTATTTTTTTCGTATATTTCTAGCAGTGTCATATTGTCAATTGTCATTGTTGTTTCCTGTCTCCTCCATCTTCATGATTCTCGTGAGTGACAGTCGTGACCTCGTGGTTGCATTTTTAAATTGTACTTTATTTGATAAGATGTTTTAAAAAAAGGTAAAAAATAGAATGTGACAAAAAATAAAGTATATTATACCGAATTTGGTATTTTACAGATGTATTGCATTGTTGAGTTTGAAAAACCGGATGATGACGGTCTGGCGGTTGTGAGGTGAGCAGAAAATAGCTGACGCTGCATAAAAAACAAGTCTTTTGGCTGCCTTTATAAAGAAATATATAAATAAATATACTATAATATAAGACTGGTGAGTAATGTTATACTTTTATTTTTTTGGTTACGAGTTCTTTCAGGGTATTTTTTTAATAGTTTATTTAAAAATAAAAGATTTGTAGGGGGACACTTGATTTAGATACCTTTTACCATCTCACAGAATAAATATATGATCTTTTTTTTTTAACTTTTATTATATATGTATACCTCTGAGAAGGTAGTTTTTACAACTAGATACACAATTTACTTTCTATCTTTAAGAATTTTCAGTGGTCTGCATTTTAATAGTTCTTTTATTTTAGACGATAATGATAAGTGATGTACCAAATTAAAAAAAAGTCGAAGTTACCTCAGATCTACATTCCAAGGCTGATAAAGTACCTACTAAAAGAAAAACAGGTTGTAACTAGAAAGCTGTCATTCGATAATACTGAAGGTGATAAAATCGTAAAGCATGCTTGCCCACCCCCAATTAAAATCAAATCTACAATTTTAGGTATGTTGTGTCAGTTCCTCTAATATTCTTTTGTCATTTTATTCCTTTTGGTTTCTTGCTCATGACTTTTTTATTTACCAGTGTAATTTATTTTTTATAATATATTTTTCATGTGTTTTTTGGATTAAATAAATAACTTTCATCTACCCGATATACACGTTACTTTAACGTGATATCGATTCGTCAAAATGACAATGTCGAATGACGTCATTTCGCTATGACATTCTCACGTTACCATAACGTTATTTTCACGTCATCAAATGACATAACGCACACCAAAAAATCACGTCATAATGACGGCATGATGCTGCATGGGAACTAACCTAGCTAGCACAAAAACATCCCAATTACGTTAATGAGCTGCAATTTTAGGCTCTTTAACCCTGCAGGCCGGGCGCCCTAGTATGTAACACGAAATGGAGCACTGGGTCTAAGTGACTTTTTTTATTTATACTTTAAACAAACTTTGAGTAAAAAATACTAAAAACCTAAAATTTATGGACCTTTATTTAATAGAAAACTAAAAAATTATTTTTAAATAAACATTTGAACACAGACACTGTTAAAAAATATACCAAAAATTGCTCCGTCCTCTAAAAAAATTTACAAAACACCAAAAGTTCCAAAGTTAAATAAAACAATGGCTTTATTTAGGTGCAAATAGTATCAAACAACAGTTTTTATTGACATTTGCATTTTGAGAACACCGGGAACACCAGGCTTCAAGGTGGCTAAGACACATTTTTTTTGCATTTTGGCAGAAAAATCTAGTTTTTGAATCCTTTTTGCAGAAGTAGCATCTTATTCTTTGTCCAGGGGGAGTTATTTGATTTTCCTGAACATCTGATGTGCCAGCAGTCTCTTGCCTTCTTTCTGTTACAGATATAGTCATCGCAAGGGAACGCCATTGTAAATGTTCATTTGTCAAAGATATTCAAAGTTACAGTCTTCGGTCCATTTTGTAAGTCTTATTATTGCAAGCATAAATATTTCGGTAGTTTACTCCCGCCATATTCATCAAAGCATAAAAGATTACCATGAGCCAACGCCTGGTATTTCTTGCAACGTTGTAGGTTGCCCCTAGTTGGCCAAAGTATCTACGCCACCTTTTGTGTGGTTATAATAAGTTATTATTTCTGGTTTACACTACTCATTTGTGGACGCATCAATATTGTCATCGTGGTGTAAACTAGAGATTAAAATTACATTTTTATACTTTTTAGGTAAGTAGGATAATTGTATTGTTCTCTTGAAAACCGAATAGTGACGAATACGGTATTCTATCTTTTGTGTTTGTGAATTCCAGTTCTCGTTTATTTTTTTTTATTGTACCTACATATGTCAAATTGTGATCATGAAATAATTTGTTAACAACCTCTACACTTGAGAACCAATTGTCACACGTCAATTTGCGATTGGTTCCAGAGATTGGTGTTATTAGTCTTTGAACAATGCTGCATGTATCATTAGACTGCTTGTACGGGCCTTTAGGCTGCTAATCAACATACCTTCTAAATTCAAAGCATAAGCGTCGCTGAGTTTATTAGAGCAAATATTTTTAGCCCGTAACGATTAGGCTTATTCGGGATATATTGTCCCCTGAAAGCCTCGCGCTTCTCGTCAAATGTTACATTTTGTTCAACTGTATACGATTTTTGACGATTGTCTGCAAAAGCGTCAAAGATGCCTCGTACTGGGGCTAAATTATCGGTTTCTCTCCTTTCCTCACGTGTTGATAGATCGTAAAATTTTAAAGATCTCAGTAATAAATAAAAACGATCGCGAGACATAATGAGCCAAAATCTATCAACTCCAAGTAAATCTCTGTCCCACAGCTCTTTGATATTTAGCCAACCAGCTCTGAGAAGCCCTGATAGATATAATAGGCCCAAAATGTCGGTAGGTTGTGTTCTTCTTACTCTTGCATAACCAGCAGATAGCGCAGATATAAAAAAAATGTATGTCACTATAACATTTAATATATCATTTGAAAAAAATAGGGACGAACATTCCAAAGCAGTTTTAGCAGTTTTTCATATTGTCTAACACCTGATAATCGAACGATAATATTTTCTTTTCTTGTTGTCACTGTTTTTGTAGGACATTGGTTTTTCCAACGGGTGATGCCATCTTTCCCGATAAACGTTGTTTTGATTACTTTTGTCCTCATCAGAGTCCTGCTCTGATTCACTGTTAGTATTTCTTTCTTCAATAATTCTGTGTTCAGAACTGACTTCTTCTTCATCATCATTCGATTCATCCGCCATGTCTACTTCTTCCCACAGCTGTTCAAGCTTTTCTTGTTTTTTTTTCCGTAACTCATTATCTATAATATAAGTACTGCTGACAAATAAAAACAGACAAAAAAGCTATAACTTACACAAAAACATAATTTTTCTACAGAAAAATTAGTTACACCAGTCGGGGCGCCGGGTTTCACAGACTTTATAACATATAAATCGAAAAAATATGTTCACGCGCTTGCTAAATGTGTACTGATTCTCGAATAAGAAAGGTACTTAGAACTGCAATCGGTTACAAGCGAAGCTCGGTGAAATTCGGCAGTTCTAGAGTCTCCGAAGTCTCTCAGACCCGACGCCCCCCCGGAGGGTTAAACTCGCATGTAATGTACTTTTAATGTAACCGTAATATCCATGCAACCGCCGAATGTCCGCAACGGCAAGATGTTACAAAGTGAAGTTCGAAAAACATCACACTAGCACTTTTACAGTACTTCTCCAAAAGTTGCTCTAAAACGTTTTAAACATGTTAAAATGTGAATTAACTAAACAGCATTTTATAGTGTGTCTACGAATGAATGAATTGTTGTATACTTGTCAAAATATTTATTTTAAATTAAAAAAAAGTAATTCTTCATCATTTCCTTTGCTTGTTAAATAAATACGATAAGAAATTATGAAAAATAACTTTTTTTTTTTTTAGTTTAAAATAAATATTTTTACAAGTATAGTTAAGTCTATCCCTGAACCCACTATATTGTTCTTTATGTAATGTAATACAGAGAAGCTAAAATTGAGGTTGAAGTAAAATCTCAATGGAGACATGGTAATGTCAAATAAAACAAAATTCCTATACAAAATTAATATTAAAATGTTCTTGAAATCAAGTACCAATACAACAAAAGTAGAGGTATGTGTATCACAAACGCAATTACATATGTGCGATAGTAGAAGCTACCTATAAAGCACTAAACGATTGGATAAAATTAGATAAACAGTATAAGGTACCAATTTTGCAAACGTTCACTAGATGTTTTAGCGGTGAACGATTGTACAAAAGCATATTTATTGAGAAAATAGAATTGGAAGTGTCGTTATAGGCACTGAAACATTTCCTTGGTGCATTAGCGACAGAAGGGGACACAATAAATCTTTTCATTCCTCACATAATAAAACATATTTATATAAGGTATGTTTCAAAGGTTCACTAGATGT